GTCTAGTTTTGAGGTAGTGAGATGGCAGGGTCTGAGGGGACTGGAACCAAGTGTATCCCTTAGTAGGTTTGTTTTGAGATCATCTACATTGGCTATTTATGAACAGTCAAAGTAAGAGCTAAGTGCCAAGTCTATGTGCATAGTAGCAGCCAGCTAAGGAGTCATGGCTGAAGGCAGGCTGTTTAGGACTCTGGTAAACATGGATAAATCTGTCTGTTTGGTCCCAACACTGCAGTTTTAAGGCCCAATTTATTGTTTTGGGCGGTTGTTTCCAAACCAGTCTTCAAGACACTCCTAGCAGCCCAGAATTTAGGGATTACACATTTGTATCTAAGGTGTTTTTAGAAAAAAAAACACCCTAGACACAACTGGGTAATCTCTAAATCCTGGACTGGTATTGGTGCCTTGAGGACTGGTTTTGGAACCACTTGTTTAGGGTGTCTTTCTCTTTTTTTTTTGGTGCATTGAGAATTAGGAAACATTGAGAATGGGGGAGCTGGTAGCACTGAATTTGTGGTCAGTATCTCCGCTGCTATTATCAGATATTAAGTGGTCCAAGGCTGGGGTGGATCTGTTGATGAGAAGATCTAAGATGGATCAAAAAGGCAGATGTTCCTTGGTTAGAATTGGGTTTACCAGTGGGGAACTCCACTTCAGCTGTTTCACAGTTACATGTAGGCAAGAGTGGCGGGGGTAGGTTCCCTATTGGTTCATTAAGATCGGTCCTGTTTAATGCACTGTCAGATATCTAAGGTGTTGCATGGGCGTTGGTGATGTTTGGTAGAGATCCTTCTCATTACTCATCTAAACTGTTTCATATTGGGACTGAGACATAAGCCAATTTATTGGGTTTTTCTTCATGTTCGATTAGGCAGTTGGGTAGGTGTGAATCAGGGCACTTTCAGTTGTCTGTTCGTCCCCACCTTTTATAATCAGTTTGTTCTATTGTAGGTAGTGGTCTTTTTGGTATTAGGTCATTCATACATTAATTGGGCAGCTCGTCAGGCTGAGATACACCCATGTGAATGGAACTTGTGGTCTAGTTTTGAGGTAGTGAGATGGCAGGGTCTGAGGGGACTTTCCTGGAACCAAGTGTATCCTGAGTGGCCCTTAGTAGGTTTGTTTTGAGATCATCTACATTGGCTATTTATGAACAGTCAAAGTAAGAGCTAAGTGCCAAGTCTATGTGCATAGTAGCAGCCAACTAAGGAGTCATGGCTGAAGGCAGGCTGTTTAGGACTCTGGGAAACAAGGATAAATCTGTCTGTTTGGTCCCAACACTGCAGTTTTAAGGCCCAATTTAGCTTCCATCCCTGCAAATAAGAATCTTTATTTGAACACTGTAGTTTTAAGGCCCAATTTAACTTCCATCCCTGCAACTAAGAATCTTCATTTAAACACTGCAGTTTTTTTTTTTTATTCTTTATTTTTGGTATGGAGGTGTGCATACAGCAGGCTCGATTGACATAAGCATAATAGAACAGTGTTGTGGCATGTTAGGTTTGCATACATTTTTTATTGGAAAGGGTAACGATGAAGTGAACAAGTTATGTGCCATAAGAGTTAAGCTGAATCAGTATAGCTAACTTGAGGCATTGCGGCGATTGCAACAAGCTGTTAGGCTAATAAAATAAAACAGTGGGATAAGCTTTGTTTGCCATGTTGTGTATGCCGTATATGAGTAATAAAGTCATGTTCTATGCAGATAAGTTACACGGTTGTATAGTTATATAAAGAAGCATGAACTTTGCTGTTACACTGTAGGCATGCTTTAATAGTATTTACCAACCGTGCGAGATATGTCAATAGGTTACACAGCTGAACTGTGTTAGTGGCTTTATGTCTAATAGGGTTTGTACTACATACAAGATGGGTGGGGGTGCTTAATAAGATTTACACGGTTTGTAATTAGCGTTTCACCCATTGGTTATATGAAAATTATAAGGTGGGCATGTGTAGTGTCGCCTGTGTGTCATTAGGGGTCCGTGTGTCCCCTTTATGGTGTAGTGGTCACATTTTAACGCCTTTATCTATAGGAGGCATACCATGCTTGGCGTTATAAACAGTAATCAAATTAAAATTAACGGAAGCAACAAAGCCAAGGTGAATGTATATGCAGCATATATTGTGGGCATCCAAATGTAGTTCCAACATGTTAAATAATTGTTATGTGTAACGGTAGAACCGTGCCAGTGTGCATACAAAAAATAAACCATCAGTTTCAATTGCCTGATAACCCTCAGCACCCCAGTCCCGAAATACTTGTGCACGGCAGGTGTAAGTCTGCAATTATCTGCTTCCCCAAACCGTCTCTGGAGCAGTCTGTTCGCTCATGGCCAGTGTCGGATCCGGGTGCAAGGTTGGTATGTCAATTCTTTTGATAGGGACTGGGCCGTGGTGGGTTTCTTTCTCCTAGAATGCCTGGGGGGCATCCTGGGCACGAACTCTGGGGCATCCACGGCGTGTCTTCCTAGCGGACGTATGTGGCCTGCGAGGTGCCCTGCTTGAGCCGGTTGGTCTGTTCAGTAACCCCATTATCTCTGAGGTCTCTTGGGGGTTGTGGACAGTGTGTTTGGCATCTCCTTTGTTGATGTTGAGGGTGCGACTCGATCCCCAGCGGTATTGTACTTGGTGGAGGCGCAGGAGGGCTGTAAATGAGCTGAGGGATCTCCTCCACGTCAGTGTTCCGGCCAACAGGTCCGCATAGAAAGAGAGGGTCATCCCCTCAATGGGGTAGGAAGACTATCCTTTTGTGGCTTCAATAACCATCTTCTTTTCTCTTGCTGATTGGAATTTTAGTATTAGGTCCCCTGAGGCCGCAGGAGGGGCCTTAGCTGGTCGTGGTATGTGAAATAAATCCTCCAGGGTGATCGCTTTAGCCGCCTTTGGTGTCAGTAGGTCTGTGAGGAGTCGCCGAACAAAGTGTGGTAGTTCAGTCTCCGGTATGGAGTCCGCGACTCCTCTGAGCTTGAGATTGTATCGGCGGTGCCTGTCTTCTTGAGCGGCCATTGGGTGTTCATGTTGCAAGGTTTTTTGTTGCAGGTCTTTGATCGCTGCTTGCAGATCCATGATCTGGTTGTTGTGGCTGGCAGAGGAGTGCCTGCCGCCATAATTCCCCAATGTCCATGCCTTGGCAGGGCTTGGCGGGCCTCGCTTTCTTGTTTTTCTGCCCCATCTGGTTCTCCGAGCTGTCCCCGGGTATATTTTTGTGTGGATTCTGGTGCTGGAAATGTCACTTTTTCTGCTGTCTATCCTGGAGCTCTGCGGCCACGCGACCGTTCGCATCAGGTGCTTCTAAGGCCTAATTTAACTTCCATCCCTGCAACTAAGCTATGAAGTTTTAAGGTATGGACTGGGATTCAGAAGATACCTGACTGGATTCCTTCCACCTTTTTACTACATATTAATTTACTATTACAATGTTACAATTTTTACTTATAGTTTACTACTGTTATATTTGTGCAGTTTAGTAATAAATAATCTGGCTGATAGGATTTAATAGGCAAATATATTAATATGTGCAACAAATGGCAAGTCAGTTTCACCACTCCTCCCCCCTGATCCCGCCTCCCTCCCCCACCCTCCGCTTGCCACTCCGATCTGTAAATTCCTTTATATAACTGTGCAACCTTCTTTTTCCTTAGGTCCAATTTAACTTCCATCCCTGCAACTAAGAATCTTCATTTCTACTCTGGTTCCTTCTAACTATATAGCATTAATCCTCCAGCTGTTTCCAACCACAGCCAATCACCTCCTCATTCCCTTCACATGTTATTAATCACTGCAGTCACACATCACCTTCAATTTCCTCATCTACCTCTTGTCTCATTTCCCTGTTTTACCTTTAGAAGCTCACGGGCAGGGCCATCTACCTTTTTTATCGGACTGTTTATATTGTATTGTTCTCCCAATTGTACAACGCTTCGGAATACGTTGGCACTTTATAAATGCCAGTAATAAATAAATAAACAGCTGATAGGTTGTTTATGATATGGCTGGAATGTTTACATTCGGAATAAAGCTGTGGCTGTTGCCCTTACCCACTATATCTTTGTCTCCTGTAATTATTGAGCAATGATTTGGGAGGCAGTGAGTATAGATCAGCAGTAATATTATTTCAGTTACTCCCAGTTGCTTACATTTGAGATTCCTTCTTATGAATTTAGAGTTTAATAAATAAAGCCATCTAAACTAAATGTGATAAATCCTTTAACTACACTATCATAATTATGATCTTGATTATACAGCCTTTCTTTAAATTGTGCTTATATTGGGCTTATTCATGACTGCTGGAGTGAAATCATTGATAAGACTTTTTGGGGGGGAAATTAAACTCATCATTTTATGATTGTATGAAATTATTTGGCAGAACCACAGTGTATCCAATAAAATAGTACATAAATTCACCCAATTTTAGTAAAGCGGGCATCTTGGAAGCAATATCTCAGAACAAAATGAATTCATTTTAAAAAGTCCCTAAAAATAGGAAAATTAAAATACGAAATAATGTGGTTAAAACTCTTCAAATATTAATAATTAGTCAAAACATTTCACAGCTATGACGACAAGCATACACATTATTATCCTAAAAACTGCCATATACTTAAACAACTGGTTTTCATCTAAATATTAAATATTTGTTCTGTTCTGCATAAAACAGTATAAGAGTGATTTTAATATGAATACATTTGCTTATTTATTTTTTATTAAACATATATTATACATGTACAGGTATTTTCTCAGATATTTTTAGAAAGGATTTTTCAGTACAAATAACAGACAACAAATATAGTACAAACATATATAGTTGTACAGCTGACATAAAAAGAAAGCCAGGGGGGCGGGGCCGGTCCGCCGAGCTGGACGGTCGCAAGCACAAGCAGTTCTTGAACTACACTACTAAATAATACGACTAAACCATGTTTTTCCATCTAAAAACAGACTAAAAATAGACCGACAGCAATGGTGCCCTGAACAGAAGGACCACTGGATCCAGGGAGAGGCTGGCTCACCGAGCTGCAGTCCCCTGGAGGAGAACTGCTCGTTACCTCAGCTAAGGCCTTCTCCGGGGGTGAGTGGGGCGGACGGCCGCTGCCCCACTATCCCGCTACACAGTACCCGGCCGAGGTGCACACTGGAGCAGTCCCGCCCACTGTGTGCCGGTGGGGGTGATCTCGGCCCTCACCCTGTGGCCCTGATCGAGACACTACAACTGAGGCTGGGGGGTCTAACCGCTGCATCCAAGATGGCGGGCGCCATGTGTGCGGAGGACAAGGGGACGACCGGCCCTCTCATGGGCCCACCGCAGCTCCCACCTCCCGACCTTGCCATACGGAGGGGCGGGAAAATCCTCTCTTACCCCCGCAGCCCCTATCACCAACGAGGTCAACAGCAACACAGAGGAGACGGACATACACCGCGCATCACACATCCCCACCTAGAAGCACGGAGCCTGCTGCCCAGCAGAGCAATCAGACAAGGAGACCGTCCAACCACACTTATCCCTCCCAGTCTGAAAGTGATCGATCCGAAATACGGAAAACCCATGCGGACGACACCAACCTCCCTACTATGGCGGGCATCAGCCCACAGAGGGAAAAAAAGGGCATCACCACCACACCACAGCTGCAATCCGTGAGCACCCAGATGGAAATCCACAGCATAGCCAGGACAGCTCATAAAACGCACACTCACTCCCTGCTACCCATACAAAACAAAGCAGGTATCGGTTAGCGATGGGACTACCCCGGCACATAAGAACGAAGCGATTTAGCTCTATTAAAGCAACATTTTCAGACCTAGCATAAATATCACGTTATAATCTAACTGTATTAACATGTCTATATAGCTAGCGTTGTAAACCTGCATTATTTGTATCGTTACCAGAATACCCAAGTTGCAGGTCATGCAGCACTACAGGCTAAACGTACAATTAACGTTCATTTATTATTTTTGCAACTTGTTCTCTCAATACCATGCTATAAACTTAAGCGTAGATAACGTTGTCATATAGATATCCAGCCTAGCATGTTTATTGCCAACTGTTGAAGTCTCATAGCCTGTCTTTTTCAGACTTTGCAATGCAATGAAAATCTCGTTAATACTTCTTGTCTTATATAAACAAAATTTATGCTGCATTTTGAACCTAAGCAACGTAAACCTATACTGTCTATTTCCTTACCAAAAAAAATGTGCAAGATCTACTGTCTACCCCTATGTTTAAACTGTTCATAATGCGCTAGAGGAATGCCTTTGGGGTACCTCTTAAGCAATTGTTATAATCGTATGCACTACAAAAAAAAAGAATTAAAAAAAAAAAAGCCAATCACTATAAACACCAGTTCTATTGGAAGATAGAGCGAGTGATGGGGCGAGTGATATTTATGACTTATTAATTGATGTGACTGGTACCTCTGGGTGCTGGCCTTTTAATACTGTTATTTTTATACCTTATTTTGTTGGTTTATATTACTTTAATTTCTCTATAAGAATTGCTGTTTAATTTTTCCCTATTGGGATTTCTTTTCCCTCTTTATAGTCCCCTTGCGACCATACAGTCCTGGGGAGGTTTTTTCTCTACCTCCACAATGCTATTGCTCTCCTTAATCTATTTGTTTTGCCTGCCTGTTTCCGATGTTTTCTGAGCTATCTGGGTCGTTCCCGCTGAGCCGCGCATGCGCGTTCCGTGAGGAGCGCCTATGGTGGCCATTTTGCGGTTAGGCTGTTTTCACATTCGGATCAAATCCCGAGCGCACATTTGGCAGCATTCATTTTCGTTTGGCCCCAGGTTCAGCAGGCTTGTGTTCCCATAGCGTAGTTCGCGCTGGTACTGCGTTCGGTTCCCGAACCATACGCTTCCAACTGACTTTTTTCCCTAGCCACGGCGGCGATCTTTTGGGGTTTTTTTTCCCGTCTTTTCTCTGGACCGCCTCCTCCTTCCCCTGGTTGGAATTGGTGTCCAGGATTAGTTAGTAGCGGTCTGCTCCCTGTTTACAACTCCAGACCATACTCACACAGACCCTGACTGCTCACATCACCATTCTACCAAAGGAGGGCAAGGACGGAGAGAGCTATGGAAATTATAGACCCATTTCCTTCATTAACTGTGACCTGAAATTAATGGCGAAGATCCTGGCGGTACGGCTATAGACGCATCTCCCTACACTGGTACACCTGGATCAGATGGGGTTCATGATGGCTCATAAGGCAAGGGACAACACTATCAGGGCACTCACGTTTGTGCATGGAAGGGCGGCTGGGCGTGGGGGGCCTTCTCCTGCTATCCACAGTTGCGGAGATGGCCTTCGACAGGGTAAGCTCGGATTACATGTGTGGCGGAACCAGCCTCGCAACTGAGCATTGGAGAAGATTGATTGCCAGCCTCCTGCCATGTGAATATGGCCCCTGGGATGTATTGCCTGCTCTCCTGTACTGCTGAGGATTGCTACCAACTAGGTGGATTTGGCTATGGAGCTTGTGTAGTGCCCTCTTTTCGTAGCACTACCTGAATAGCAAGACTGGTAATTGGCATATTCAGGTAGATTTGCATATCGCTAATTCTGCATGCAGAAGAGACATTTTGTGTTAATTATGGTCTTCACCACCCATTTATAAATATGTAATTATGTTATAATAAGTCACTGTATGTTGCCTGCTATGATTTGACAGTTTGTAATTTTATTGAGTTTTCATAGCAATGTTAATGTAATGACCATATGGGATAGTCCCAAGTAAAATAAAGTTTTAGACAGTTCTACTTCACCCTCAATTTGGAGTCCTGTCTCTTATTGGCGGAATCTGCTACCAGGGATTGCTATGCTCTGCATATTCCCTTGCTATAATCACTCCTAAGCTCTTGTAAGAGCTTGTTCCTGTCTTGCTCTCTGAAGGAGTCTACGGGGGTTATGGTGCCGGCTGGAGTGCTTGGAGCACTCGGGAAGCGCTAGGAGCATCCTTCAACGGAGGTACCCAGTCGGGGTGCCAGGTGATCCGTTACAACATGTTTCAGGTGCTGTTTCACCTGGGACTCAGAAGAGACATTTTGTGTTAATTATGGTCTTCACCACCCATTTATAAATATGTAATTATGTTATAATAAGTCACTGTGTGTTGCCTGCTATGATTTGACAGTTTGTAATTTTATTGAGTTTTCATAGCAATGTTAATGTAATGACCATATGGGCTAGTCCCAAGTAAAATAAAGTTTTAGACAGTTCTACTTCACCCTCAATTTGGAGTCCTGTCTCTTATTGGGGGAATCTGCTACCAGGGATTGCTATGCTCTGCATATTCCCTTGCTATAATCACTCCTAAGCTCTTGTAAGAGCTTGTTCCTGTCTTGCTCTCTGAAGGAGTCTACGGGGGTTATGGTGCCGGCTGGAGTGCTTGGAGCACTCAGGAAGCGCTAGGAGCATCCTTCAACGGAGGTACCCAGTCGGGGTGCCAGGTGATCCGTTACAACATGTTTCAGGTGCTGTTTCACCTGGGACTCGGGCCACATATGAGGGACTGGATAGAAGCACTCTACAGGGAGCCCAAGACCCATGTGATTGTTAACGGGGCCCTCACGTAGGAATTCTATATACTTAATGGTACCTGTCAAGGATGCCCCTTATCCCCGCTGCTCTTTGTCTTTGCCCTTGAGCCATTCTTGACGGCAATAAGACATAACCCAGACATAACCAGGGTAGAGAGGGGGACCACGCACCATAAGATCGCAGCATACGCTGATGACCTCCTCTTTTTTTTCACAAACCCAGAACATACTCCAAGCCTTTAAAGACTATGGAGTAGTCTCCAGCCTGAAAATAAACTTTTCCAAGTCCTATGTTCTGAATGTGTCTGTGCCCCAGAACTGAGCTGACTCACTTGAACGCAGTTACGCGTTCCAATGGGCGGAATCTAAAATTCGATAACTAAGTATATGGGTAACCAGGCATAGCGCATACCTCTTTAAAGAGAATTTCGCCCCATGAACACGCTTAAGAGGGACATGCAGGAATGGTTCTATCCATACAATCCCATGGCTGGGCCGCATCCAGGTGGCTAAAATGAACTTTCTACTGTCGATGCTCTATCTGCTGCAGGCTATCCCCATCTTAATCCTCCAAGATGGAGTAACTGAGGGCCATAGAGGACTTACACATGACCACGTGGCTGCTGACCACAGCAAAAAAACGGTTTTGCCAACAAACTCAGTCCCTAGAACAGCGCCACCCATTGGTCACCTCTCCCATGGGACCCAACGTGGTGTTCCAATATATATCGTACCCCCTTCCTCTCTCCTTCTTTCTCCTTTTGCCCTCTCTTTTATCCTCTGTCTCTTTTTTTCTATCTATCACCACTCTCTCTCCGCGCATGGTCATACTCTAAACTATGAGACAGTCTTAAGACGGAGTAAGGGAACTACTGAACCACTGAGCCCCTGACAAACGGGATTCTCCATACTGTTACGTGCATGTTTCTGCTCAAAGGGACCTTTGAGTCCGACACCTGTTTTGTTACCTGATATAACTGAGACCTGCGTGTCTGTCGTACCAGTGTTTATTATGCTCAAATGAGACCTGCGAGTCTCTCCAGTCATTACATTCTCCTACATATAAATCGTACAGTAGGAACCTGCGCGTCCCACCCTTTTATCAGGCTTGATGATGGCACATGCTATCCATAGCACATTGAAATCAATAAATATTATATTTACAAAAAAGAAAATGGACAACATCTCAGGTGTCCATTATCAATTATCTAGGAGGCACGAGATCCAAAGTCTTGGCGAATTTGGCCCGAGATTTTTGGCAGTTTTGTCTTCAGCACAATATTGCTGTCAGAGTGGAATATATCCCAGGGTTATCCAACATTACGGCCGATTGGTACATCTGCTTGATCCCCAAATCTTTTACTGCATTTGGGATCTTTGGGGACCTTTGGAAATAGACTTGTTTGTGTCTCGCTTGAATGCCCAGCTTCTGAACTTTTTCAATTGGAGGCCGGAGGTATTGGCTATGAACGCATTCTCCCAGGACTGGTCCATCACTAGGAATTATGCATTCCCTCCATTTGCCCTCATCCCTCGTTGTCTCCTCCATCTGCGACGCCAATCGGGTTGTTTAGTTATAGTAACCCCTGCTCTGGTCACAACCTTGGTTCCCTCCTTTACTGGAGATGGCTATATATCGCCCCCGGCTTCTCCTGGTCTTCTAATCTCTCTTACTGGATCCGGACGGGACCCCCTTGATCCTCCAGGGCCTCCTCCGTCTCATGGCGTGGCTAAATTCCAGGGACCCTGGACAATCAAGGGAGTTGACAATTGACTCTAAGACTTCTCGAGGGCGCATGGGCACCCGGCACAATACAGTCTTACAAGTCTGCTTGGCACACATGGAATGATTGGTGCATGGCACAAGGTGTGGATCCTTTATCAGCTCCTGTGATGACTGTACGAAGCACGTACCGCCCCCCTTCGGACGGGACCAGACCCCCAACTTTTAATTTCCTTTCTTAAACCGCATGCTACGGTATCCTCCCCTACCATGGCTCTTTGGGTCAAATGGCTCATGTCCTTGGCATGTGTTGATAGGTCCATTTTTTTCTCCTCTTTCGATTCACGGTGCTATGGCTTCTAAAGCCTCCTTTGC